AAGGGTTTCACATTTATTTGAATATGGATATAATGAAGGATTTTATAACATTGTTATGTATCAATATTCTGCATCATTAGGGTCATGGAGAAGAAACTTACAACCATCAACATCAAATACAAGAATTCATTTACTATTAAATATTTACAAAGAAGTATTACGAGTTTGTCAAGTTTTAAATCAAAGAATTATTCATTTTGATATTAAATGTGAAAATTTCTTAATTGAACCATTACCTGGAGTATCATTAGAAACAGTTAATAATCCACAAACAGAAATTCCACCATTTAAATTATGTCTTGCTGATTTTGGAGAGGCATGTGTTTATCGTAATGATAAAGAAGCAAATACAACTAGACATCGTGGAACAGAATCAATTAAACCACCAGAAATGTTAAAAATGGACTTAGCAGGAGGAATGCCTGTAAATGCATCATGTGATATCTGGGCATTAGGTTGTTTGTTATATGAGTTATATACATCAAAAATGCTTTTTGCAATTGCTGATGTTGGAGAATTTTATTTTAGAGTATTAAAGAGTGAAGAATTATTAACTGAAGAAAATAAAGAATTACTTGGAAATAATGAGTATTTAATTGGATTTCTTGAATTTGTATTAAATAGAGATCCAACAAAACGACCTCAAATATCTGCATTAGCACAAAGATTTGATGAAGTAATTGAAAAAATTAAAAAAGATAATAAAAAAGATTTACTTAAAGCAAAAAAATGGGAAAAGAATAGAAAGATGTTAGAAAGAAAACAATACGAACAAATTGAAGAAGAAAATATTCAATTAAAGAAAGATATTGATATTAAAAGAGGAATAGAAGTTGTTAATTTTGAAGAATCTAAACAAGTATTCAAATATTTTAATAATATTTTATTTGGTGGAGAAATGAATGATGAAGAAGTATATAAAAGAGGAATTAAATATGTTATGCATTTTGGAGAAGAATTACCAACATCACTTTCACTTACTGCTATGAACTATCCTATTCCAAAAACAGTTGAAGAAATGATTAAATTATTTTCACGAATTATTGAAGTATTAAGGGAATTTGTTGTATCAAAAAGGGCTGTTTATATTTGTGGAGATAAAGGATATATGCCAGCTGCTTTGTTACTTGGATTTACAATGCAAAAACATTACTTATCTGAATATGAATCTTATCTTTACATTCAAAAAGTATGTCCATATGTTAGACTTCATGAATCAGTTTTAAGTGGATTAAAATATTTTGAAAAGAATCCAATTCCATCAATTTTCAGTGGCAATGATAAATTAAGACATTTCCATTGTTTATGTGGAATTGTTGATATAGTTTTAACTCAACCTATTGATGAAGAATTAGTTAGAAATTGTAGATGTGAAGCAGATGGTAAAGAATCTTGTCCTAATCGTCACAATGGTTGTAGAATCTTTTTAGAAACAATGAAAGAAAAATCATCATATGATGCAATATTTATGAAATGGGTTGGAGTAAAACAAAAGAATGTTGTGGGAATGAAGAATCTTTTGAATGTTGTGAATGTGTTTGTTTATTCTTTTGTATTATTTTATTTAATTAATTAAAATATTTATCTAATTAGATTACCATCTTCTGGTAAAAGTGCAAAGATATATTCTTGTAAGAGTTGTGGATTCATTATGTTTGCCATTCCTAAGAAAGGATTAGAAAAGAAGTTTTCAACAAATGGTAAAGGTTATGATTTATTTATAGTGGCTAATAATGCTGGAATAGAACTGTTCTAATCAAACAATTTCATTTGTAATTTATCAATTTATACAATCTATTATTTAATTCTATTTTTATCTAAAATCTTTTCAATCTTCTAACTTAACAAACCATTTTTACTTTGTATTTCATTTTTTTGTCATTACTTCTGTCTACAACATCCTTAATTTGTTATACTCTTTTATAAGTCATCTTCTGTTCATTTTATCTTTTTCTTTATTTAATATTTTTGTAAGTATTATTATTTTGGTTACATTTCATAAATGAATTGTTCAATAACGTATTTAACCAGTTCATTTACAACATATTAGAATAGCATTTTAGGTGTTATGAAAAATGTTTCTTCTATTCCCATTATTACTATAAACTGAGTTGAAATATTATCAACCAAATATAGAATAAACCAACCAACTCCCAATGAATTTATGAATCCATAATCTATTACTTAATTAGAATACATTAAATTTTTCACAGACTTCTGATTGGTCCCTTTTATAAAGAACAGAATATAAGAATGAATGGGTATGTAAAAATTCTTATAGACAATTTAGATAACAATAACTATTCGTTAACCCCATAAAAATAAAGAATAAAAAGAAGAAGCAACAATAGAACGATATAAAGTGCAGTAAATAATAATGAAGAAAACAAAAATGAAAACCACAAAGTTGAATAAATAATTTAAAACAAAATGAAAGATTATGAACAACTTACAATAAAAATGAATAACAATTAAAACAGAAAAACAAACAAAATGAAAGAATATAAACAATATTCTTAATTATCAATATAATAATTAAAATATCACAATATTTCAATAATTATCATTCTTGAAAATAAATATTAATTATTGAATATGATTTTAAATTTAAAACATTCATTGTTATTGAAATGAATAGTATTTTATATTATTCTTTAATTTATCTTTCATTCAATTTTATTTACTAAATACATTCAATTATTATTATCATTTATTTATCTGTTATTTTGACTTGAATTTTATCATTTTCATAATCTATTTGAATTTTATTCTTCTCTTTCATTATTCCACTTATTATTGATTTTGTTATTGAAGTTACTACTGTCTTTTCTATATATCGTCGCATTGGTCTTGCTCCATATGCTATTGAATATCCTGATTTAATGATTCCTTCTATTGCTGATTCTGTCATTTCTACTTCACTTAATGGATATCTCTTTTTAATCATTTTAATCACTTCTCCCATTTGTAATTTAACTATTTCTTTTAATTCTTTCTCTGAAAGTGGTGAGAATACTATAATATCATCTAATCTATTAAGAAACTCTGGTTTAAATGTTTTCTTTACTATTTCCATTACTGTTTCTTTAACTTTTCTACTAACTTGTCCTTCTCTTTCTACTCCTTTCATTATTATTTCACTTCCTAAATTTGATGTCATAATAACAATAGTATTCTTAAAATCAACTGTTCTTCCTCTTCCATCTGTTAATCTTCCTTCATCTAATAATTGTAATAATACATTAAATACTTGTGGATGTGCTTTTTCAATTTCATCAAATAATATTACACTATATGGTTTTCTACGAATTGCCTCTGTTAATTGTCCTCCTTCTTCATATCCTACATATCCTGGTGGTGCTCCTATTAATCTTGATACACTATGACTTTCCATATATTCACTCATATCTATTCTAACTATATTTTGTTCGTCATCAAATAACTCAACTGCTAATGCTTTTGCTAATTCGGTTTTTCCTACTCCACTTGGTCCTAAAAACATAAAACTACCTGTTGGTCGTTTTTCATTTCCTAATCCTCCTCTACTTCGAATAATTGCATCACTGACTGCTGTTACTGCTTCATTTTGTCCTATTACTCGTTTATGTAGTTCTTCTTCTAATTTCATCAGTCTTGTT